AGTTCTTCTCAGAAACCATGCAAGCAAGAAGAGAGTGGAGTGAAATATTTAAAGTGTTGAGAGAAAAAAACGCCAACTTGGAATTCTGTATCCTGGGAAATTATCCTTCAAAAGTGAAGGAGAAATAAAGACTTTCTCAGACAAACAAAAATTGAGGGAATTTGTTGCCAGTAGACTGCCTCACAAGAAATTATTTTAAAAGTTGTTTAGAGAAAAGGAAAATAATGTAGGTCAGAAACTCAGATCTACATAAAGGAAGAGCATAAGAAGGAATAAGTGAAAGTAAAATGAAAACTTTTATTTCTCTTATACTTAATTGCTATAACAGTTTGTTCAAAATAATAATACCAGGGCCGGCCCCATGGCTTAGCAGTTAAGTGCGCGTGCTCCGCTACTGGCGGCCCGGGTTCGGATCCCGCGCACACACCAACTCACCACTTCTCCAACCATGCTGAGGCCGCGTCCCACATACAGCAACTAGAAGGATGTGCAACTATGACATACAACTATCTACTGGGGCTTCGAGGGAAAAAAAAGGAGGAAGATTAGCAATAGATGTTAGCTCAGAGCCGGTCTTCCTCAGCAAAAAGAGGAGGATTAGCATGGATGTTAGCTCAGGGCTGATCTTCCTCACAAAAAAAATAATAATAATAATAATACCAACAGTGTATTCAACTATGTATGCTTATGTGTGTGTATATATACTTACATACATAAATATATATATGCTTATGTACACTTGTATATAAGTGAAATGAATGACAGAAATGATACAAGAGATAGAGCAAAGAATTAGGATTACTTTGTTATTATAAGGTACTCACACTATCTGGGAAGTGGTATAGTGCTATTTGAAAGTGGATCTCGATTAGCTTAAATATATATTGCAAATTCTAGGGAAACCACTAAAAAAAGTAAAAATAGAAGTATAATCAATGTGCTAAGAGAGAAAATGGAATAATATAAAATGCTGAATTAAAACTATGACAGGCAGAAAGGGTGAAAGACAGAAGTAGGAACAAAGAACAAGAGTAACAAATAGAAAACAGTAACAAATATGATAGATATTAATCCAACTATATCAATAATCACTTTGAATGTCAATGGTCAAAATGCACCAACTGAAAGAGGTTGTCAGAGTGGATCAAAAAACAAGACCCAACTATATGTTGCTTACAAGAAAACTCACTTTAAATGTAAAGATGGAGAAAAATATACCATGCTGACACTAATTAAAAGATTTAAAAAGGCATTACATAATGATAAAGGAGGCAATTCTTCAAGGAGACATAACAATCTTTAACATGTATGTGCCTAACAACAGAGTGTCAAACTATGTGAGGCAAAAACTAACAAAACTGCAAAGAGAAATAAATGAATCCACTACCATGGTTGGTAACTTCAACACCCCTCTATCAGAAATGGACAGATCTGGCAAGCAGAAAATCAGTAAGGACATAGTTGAATTCATCATCATCATCAATCAACGGGATATAATGGACATCTATAGACTACTTCATCCAACAACAGCAGAATACACATTCTTCTCAAGCTCACATAGAACATTCACCAAGACAGGCCACATTCTGGACCATAAAACACACCTTAACAAATTTAACAGAATAGAAAGCATGCAATGTCTGCTCTCAGACCACAATGGAATTAAACTAGAAATCAATAACAGAAAGATAACTGGAAAACCCTAACAGGGAACTGTGTGTGTTAGGGCGGCTGGGTAAGTCCATTCTTCTGCAGACCACAGAGAGACATAGAAAGTTTTAGATGAGGCAAGTAGCATGACTAGAAATGTGATTTGAGAAAAATGGGCTGCAACACATGGAATGGACTGAAAGAGAAAGGTAACAGATTCAAAGAGAACAATTAAACAAGAGACTCTAGGTAGGAGGTAGAAAGGGCCTGACATAGAGCAGTACAAACGGAACTGAACTGATTAACGTGAGAACACTACATGTAATGACCCGCTAATGGTATTTTAAAATATAAAATGTGTATCTTCAACCTACCTACTCCTAACAAATTCATTACTATAGCTTTACTCTAAGTCACTAACATAACTTAGAAAACTGCAATAGACTCCTAGCTGCTTTTCCAGCTTCTATTCTTGCCTCAACCTTTACCCCACAGCACAGCAGCCAGAATTATCTTTTTATGTATCACACCTCTGGTCAATATCCTCCAATGGCTTCCCATTGAAATTGGAATAAAACCCAAAGTCCTTACTATGATCTAATGCCTGCCTGTCCGGCATCTGATTTCCCTACTTAAATCACTTGCCTCCTGCCATAGCTACCTTCCTTTTGTTCCTCTAAACACTGAGCTCATTTTCACTGAGGGGCTTTGCACCAGCTGTTCCCTCTGCTTGGAACGTTCTTCCCCTAGATCTTTACATGGCTGGCTTTAAAAAATTTTTTCATATCTCAGCTCAAATGCCAACTTCTCAGAGCTGCATTTTCGGATCACTGTTCCTCAAGTAGCCATCCCTCAAGCCATCCTATTACCCTGCTTTACTTCTTCACAGCAATTACCACCCTCTACAATGATCCTCTTTAGTTATCCATGCTTATTGTTCCCCTCTACCTGCCACCTCCACTGCTAAAATGTACACTCTGTGAGAGCAGGACCTTCTCTGCCTTATTCACCACTCTGTCCCCCCAATGCAAAGGATAAACCTGAAACATCGTAGACATTCACTAAATATACATTTAAAAAAACAAAATTCTTATCACAGATGCTAGTGAACAAGTAACATTGTGTAACATTCACTGAGCTGTACTTCTCCCTTTCTTCTCCTACTGTAATATGAGCTGCTTTACAGACTGGATTGAAAACCATGGATTTTAGATCCTGTAGTGCCTTATAAAGAGAATGTATTACCCAAAGTAGTAAAATTATTCAAACTATTCAGCTTTTATGATTAGGCAATTTGGTAGCTTTAAAATAAGACTGACAGTCTTACCTTATAAGCTAAGTTTCTTGCGACAAAAGTATAGAGATGGCAAGGAGACTTACTCTAAATGTGGGGAGAGCCTTCTAGGGAGGAAGATCTGTAGCCTCCCCCAACTAGGCTATGAACTAGAAGGCCTCCTAGACGCCTTCCCTGAATCCCAAGTTTGCCAATTTAATTAAAATGTACTAGTGGAGACAAATTATAAGGGAAAAAAATTAGCCATATATGTGTGTTATACATACACATAGACATTTTTATAAGAAAAATACATTAAAAATATAAAACCAAATAGTTAAAAGAACACAGCTTTCAAGAAATAACACTTTCTCAAACAGCAAAGCAAAAATGTTTGAGCTAAGTAACCAAAATGATGAACAGGCTCCCAAAGCCACTCCCGAGTTGGTCTGGCTATCCAAGTTTTTTTTTCCCCTTGCCTGTTTGCTATTTCTGTTAACCCATCTGGCCCAGATGGCCTCTGAGTGCGTGACTGCCCAGTGCCATGGGGCCTCCATTTCCATTTGATAACAGTAGAGAGATTGAGTACCATCCTTCTTATTAGCCACTTCAAGCTGAAGCTGCCAAGTTTTCTAAGATAACTTCCTAGCATTTCTTAAAAGAGATAACTTTACCGCTTGGTTAGCAATATCTACTGTGCATTTTGTTTTTATGAGGGCTGTTTTACTGCCACTGATTACCTACTTACTTACATGATTGACAAGGAAATTCATTCTTTTGTTTTATTCAACAGTTATTTATTGAGTGCCTCCTGTGCACCAACACAACGGCATTCTACTTTCTGAAACCATATCTAGGGAGATCAAGCACTCCTACCCAACACCTCTGAGAGTAGCTTCCCTATAATTCATTACTCCTGGCTTAACTGGCTAACTTAAGCTCATCAAAATGATCCCATACCTCCCACGCCCCCAACCTGCTACCATTTCCAGGTATCTACAGTTTTGTTGTACTCTGAACCCATGATTCCTCTGAATTATTTTCACTTTAAAAGAGAAAATTTCATTTGTTAAATGTGTAGTATAACCATAACAGCGGTCCACGTCAGCTGATTGTTCTGTTTTTGGGACCCAGAAAGAGATGAATGTCAGAGAGCCAGGGGCTTTGACACTGTAATAGATCTAGGAGGAGCTGAACCAGGAGTGGAGCACAGGGACTCGGAAGAAGGCACTAGCGATACCCAGGACTCCACATATACCTGGCTCATCCTAGATCCTAACGATTAAATTAACTTGACTTATATTTATGTAATGGTTTATAATCTAAAGTGTAGACGTATCTAATTTATAATCTACAACAACTCTGTAAGGTGGTTACTATTATCCTCATTTTACAGAAAAGGACTGAGGGGGAAAGGACGTGCATTGAAAGGAATTTGCCCAAGATTGTAACATATGTTGCTAGAACTTACCCTAAAATCTTCCTACACAAATTCCATATACTTCTCGCTACAGGACCCAGAAAGATGAGGTGCAATATATAAAAGCTATGGATATTAACTATGTGTTAAATAAGAAACTACTCTTGCGCATGGTAAATACTGAGTAGGTTGAGAGAAGAGGTGTTTGCAAACCTGAATGGCTTCAAGCGGAAAAGAAATAAGGAAGATAAAAATAATAGTTATCATTTAAAAAGTAATTTGGTTAGAAAGGGATTCAAAGGTACAAAGCAAAAGATAAATTTTTCTCCAATATTATGACTACATAATATAACCTTAATCAGAAGCACATGACTTCAAATAATTGTTGGCAATTGAAAAACTGATTAAATATTATTTTAAGATTATCAATATTATAAATATAGTAATTTATTTTGAAAAAGGGAATACAGAAATCTATAGTTTAAGAATAGAAATCATCGTTATTATCAAAATCTGGCCAAAATAACTTTCTTATTAATACAAGTAGAATACTGCATTCAATCAAGGCTCCTCTATGGATTTTGTATTTTGCTAAAATTACAAAGAGGTAACACCAATATGAATTATTGAAAGTAACTTGTAAATAGTTGTACATACGTTCTTTTGACATCTTGTTCAATCATTGATCGAAGTTCTTTATCTTGGAAGAATTTGTTCCAAAGACTCTGAAATAAGGAGAACAATCTATTTAAAATAATCTCACACCTTTGCTTGACTTTTATGATCTATATTTAATGATTTAAATCATTAAATTTATCCTTCTCTGAGTTACCATTTCACATGGCAGATAGGAAACCTGAGATTGGAATAATTTTTATTAAAATTTAGTTTAATCTCGAAACACATCCTCATTCTAACAACAACTTTTCCAGTGATATTATTGTATATATTCTAAATTTTTCTATTATCTATATAAAGTGAATGATACTTTTACTGCTATACACCCACTACTACCCATAGCACAACAAAAAGGTGTGCTTGGATTACAGCAGGGCCATAAGCCAACTCGTCTCAACTTGAACCTGACCTGAATTCCCAACGCACTAAGATATGCAATGTTTTCTACAAAGATTGGTTTTTTAATCAAATAGATTTTTATGTAGTTTTTAAAATGTAAATTTTGTAAAGTTTTGAAAATTTCTTAACATTTTATGCTGTTATATCATAAGACTATATTATAATAACTATAGGTATCAGGAAAAGAAATGCTAGTATTATATAGTAACTGGAAAAAAATTTATGTTAGGAGGGAAACAGAAATTAGAGCAGCAATTGAAGAAGTTATACAATACCTCTAAAGCAGTAATTATTCCTAGTCTTTTCTGGAATAGGAGTGGAAATACGCCTGATCTTCCTGATTTTTGAAAACTTCTTCATAGACTTACTAGTTACTTTTCTTCTAGAAGTGAGTCCAACCAAGTGAACCCTTCTCTATTTTTATCATCAAGGAGGCTTTCCTTAGCCTCCCCACTCCCACTGTAACCTTGATAAAACAGTTCTACCCTCATCTTTATGCTCTATTTTACCCTTAGTTCTTATAGACCCTGGGACGACTCCTCTGTAAAGCCATTCCACAGAAACCCAGATCATAAACTTCCTATAACACAGTATGTACACAGCATGGAATAATTCCCATCAGGTTTTAGGTGGTATAGCATGTGGGGTAAAAAAAAATAGTTGGTATAAAATAACATTACTTTCACGGTGATTGATAACCAGTCTCAAAAGTATATTCTTATGGGCAAAAGAGGCTGAGATATAAATAAAGAGGAACTTTACCCCTTCATCCTGTGAAAGGGGATTATTGATCATCAAGTCCTGCTGCCCAACAACCTTCCTCGGGTTTGTGATGTGCTGGTAAAGACAGAAAGAAAATACATACACAGGGATCAGAGGCTACTGGACTTTAAAGCATACGTAAGAAAACATGAATTAAAGTACAACTTACTATCTCTTTAACGTTGCTATACCATGCTCTTAATTCTTTAATTCTACTTATCCACTGGCTTTTATCTTGAGGAAGAACACAAAGAAAAAGCTGTTAAGAAAAAAAATGGAAACTTTTGTAAAAATCATAAGAAGTAAAATGTGAAACTATGCCAAATAGAATCACTTGAAAATTGAAAGAGATATTCAAATTCATAATTCTCAATAAATTATATATTTGGGGATATTTAAGAAATACATATTTGGACAATTCAAAAAGTACACAAAGGCCAAAAAACAAGATCCCAAAAGCCACCCACAAAATGGAATCAACCTCCCCTCTAGATCTATATTAAAATTAACAATAAAAATTCATTGAGGTTCAAGTATAATTCCCATTTTACAGTCTTATATTAATGGGGGTGTTGGAGGTATTAACAGGCACAAGGTTTTATCAGTAATGTCAAGTTTAAGATTTGTCCTAAAACAAGCCGATAAAGGACAGACAAGAACCTGAGGACACAGCCTAAGAAGTTACAGCAGAAAATGTAATTTACAACTGGCAATCAGCTTATGAAAATAACAAGCATTCTTAAAAAGACAAATTTGATTTAATTTAGTTTAATACAGCATTAAAATAAATCTGGATTTGAGATTATTTTTAGCAAACGAAGGATACTAAAAGTTAAACAACAAGGAATGGGGGGCGCGGCACAAACATTTGTAAACGAATATTCTAGCAGCGGGTCTCCTGCCTTTACCACCTGCATCTAACAGAAGAAAAATGTATTTTAATTATTAAATCTAAATTATTAAATCTAACACTGTCTAATACATCATGTGTTCCTTACTGTCTTTACTTGCACACACTCTGTACGCTCAATTTATGCAGATAAACCCTAAAAAACTTTCAATAGAAGTCATTTTAGAAATGAGTCTGAACCTAAATTAATTCATTTTGAAAGAACAAAAAGGGACAATATTTCCAAGCAATTAAAAAGATAACTGTAGATTATTATTACTAGTTTTGGTAACCAATGGCCTCTCTTTTGGAAGGAGACTGACCCAATTTCCTTCACTTCTCCTTCTTGCTGCTTTTCGCTTTGTGTTTCTAGTAAAAGAAATATGAAAAATCTTGCCCATCTGCTATTTATGAAGAAGAAAAAAGGGAGGATGGCTAAATGACGGCACTTGATATAATAGGAACCTGAAAGTTAACCCCCCTCCACTCCTGCCCAGCCTCAAGGATTTCTGCAAAAGCCTCTGGGGAATGTAAAGGTGTTGCTTTGAATTCCGCACCATCAAATGAGATGAAAAGAGTTATTTCAAATGCCTCCTTTACCATCACCAGTTATTCAGGACTAAGGTGGTTCAACCTTATCAGTAAATGTCCTATGAAAGATAAACATGACGGCCAAAAAACCGAGAGTGAAGTCGCTTGGAAAATTCAGTGATCCCCAGCACGGGTAATCTTCCAGGGCATCAGGTAATGTGTTGATATACTGCAACCACAAACTGTAAATAAATATTTTCTTCTTACCTTCCAGCAAATGCTGCGGAACCTGCTGCTTCTCAGCTGCCCATTAATCCCCTTCTGCCTTATTGTTGCCAAGTAATTGTTGTTTACAAATAGTTCTTCCCATTCTTTCCTATATGCAAGAAACCAAAGCATGGGGATCCTTTTGTTAAAATTCTTCTGCTTGGAGAGGAGTGCTACAGGAAACTAATTTTAAATAAGTCTAAGAAATGCAACTTTTAAAACGTATATATTTAGTTGTGTACTGTTTCTGAACGCATGGCTGTCTTTTTGGACAGAGTTCTTCTGTAGATTTAATGAATATGTAGATCGCTATAATTATGCCAGCTACTGAAATTCATAATGTCTATGGAGGCTATTCCATTTCCTCTAAAATGCTGGTAGTGCAGTTCAGTAAATAAACAAGAAAAAAAAACAATATTAATGTAAGTATATGACTGCTTTAGCCATTGACAAAGATATTCTTGCTCCAAAAATACACAACAAAAAAGTATATTGTAGATTATATTGGCTTCTCACGTGAAATATCTGTTTAAATGAACCCATTTCTCTTTTATGTCAGGCTGGGTAGTTAAATATAATAGAAGACTACTTTCTTTAACTTTTAGTGCTATTTACTATTGAAATCTCTGCAACTTCTTTCTACATGATCAGTTTTAAAATTTTAACAGGTGCAGGCAAATTCGAAAAAAACATCAAAAAATTAAAAAGCCTCACTGTAAAAACTGTTAAAGGCAAGCTTGAGTACCTTGCAGTACCTATGGCTGAGTAGATAAACAACTGAAATATGCCTCCCAGGCACGCAGACACCAGGGGCCTAACACCTGTGCCTCATTAATATACAAGTAAATCTGCTCTACTGGGAAACAATTGGAAATTAATTGTCCCAAACCATTTACTGAGTTTGAATAAAGGAAGTAGACCTATATTCCCTGCATCTTGCAGCAAACTAAACATCAAGAATCATTTGTCAACAGTTGAGGCTACTGAGCACAGCTTTATGAAATTTCTCTCCGATTTCATAATGCCACAATAAACTTATAATTTAAAATTTATTATCAAAGTTGAAACCCTAGCGATCTCTTCAGAGAGCCTTCTTCAAAAGAAAGACTCTAGACCCCTCAGTCCTCCTGGGATATATACATGCAGTTGTCACTGGCCAGAGCCGACTCATTTTGAGAAAGGACAGCCTTGTGCACTATGCTGTCTTAGAGCCAGTAACGGAACCAACTGCACATGCGAAGTTTAAACACCCGACTGTGGAGCAAGCCGCATCCTCTCCACGGGGTTTTCCAGAAGAGTGGCCAAGGTAATGGTACCTTCCCTACTGCCACGAGCAGGAGAACTTCCAGTCTCAGCTCTGTAGCAGTGACCCCCGACCGCGCCAAGCCTTCTGCCAGTAGGGGCTTGTGGCTAAGTATGCCGAATGGGACACACACTCCAAGCCCATACTGGAAGAAATACATTCCTACCACCACTCCATGAAAATTTCTTACTCTCATCACTCTGTTCATAAGAGAAAATGATATTTAATTTTTATTTTAATTTGTATTTGTATCATTAGTGAAACTGAAATTTTTTCATGCTTTTAGGTCATTTTATTTCTTCTTTGTTAAAACTTCCTTTCTTGTCCTTTGCCTATTGTAAGCAGTATAGGATAGTGCTTAACAGAATGGACGTCAGAACCACACTCCTGGGATCAAAAAGGCAGCTATGCATTCAGAAACAGTACACAATTTACTAGTTAGTTACTAGCTGTGCAAGCATGGGCAACTTACTTAACCTCCCTGTGCCTCTGTTTCCTCATCTATAACACGGAATAATAACAGCATCTACCTCCAAGAATTATTATGAGGATTAAAACACATGACAAGCCCTCAGAAGGGTGCCCAGCATATCATAACATTTAAAAAATTAATATGATTGTCAATAATTATAATACTGCTTTTATTTTAGGGTGCCTTATTATTGGTCCGAGAGGAAGTTTTCATACATTAAAGACATCACACTTTTGTCTGCCATATATATGTAATTTTATCTCAATTATCTTAATTTTCAACACACTGAAACTTTTTGTTTATAATTTAAACCTAACATTATTTTCTCTTGATTTGTTTCCATTGTTTTCAAGCTTAAGTAATTCTTGGCCACTCCAAGTTCAAAGAATTGATCACTGAAATCCTGGGGTTTTTTAAAACCACTTTAGTCCATTTGTATTATCTATAATATTTTAAATACATTATCCATTTCCTAACAATTTCACATATATTATCCACATCTCATATTGTTCAAGTTTTGTTGTTATCCAGTTTTTAATAATAGTCAAAGACGAGATCAGCAATGAGTACATAAGAACATTACAGGAGTACATCTCAGAAAATTAAAGTATGTTCAAATAGCTTGTGGTCTGTGAACAGAAAGCACCGATTTCATATGTATTCTGAACCCAAAAGGAATCAAAATTTGTGAGAGACCATGCAGTCCCATGGCCTGAAAACACTACTACGTTCCAGATAAGAGAGGGGGGTGGGAGGCAACAACTCCCCCAGCCTCTTCCCAAATCAGCTCTCTTCACAGGTACCAAGACGTGGTGAGAGTAGACACAGCTGGTGGCTAGATTCATTGCCATCTTGTCAAGTTAAGCAGCCTTCTAAGGTCAAGTTACATACTACTTATGTAATGAAGGATAATTATTTGTTAGCTTAAATAAAACCCTGTGCCTTGATTACAGTGTTGGTAAAGAGAAAAGGAGACTGAGACATGTGAAATGGAAACATTATCTCTAAACTCACAATCATTTAAATTTATTCATGGGTACTTATAGTTCCAATTAAGATATAACATCTCAAACTGATGAAGAGCTCCCACAACAGAAGAACATAAAAGCCACAAGATAACCTATTAATTGTCTTTCTTTTCTATGGAATAGTGTTTCAATAATAAACTGTGATACAGAGAAAACATAATAAACATTTATTTAGTGCCTACTATGTGCTTAGCACTCTGAGATATTTAAAAAAAGGCATTAAGTTAAGGGAGTAGACAGACGGATGTGTAAACCAATAATATGATTAAGGCAAAGCATTCCTACAGCACAGAGGAGAGAAAAATAGTTTTATACGGAAAAATGAAAACTCAGTGTAGAAAATAATAAATAGTGGCACCACAGACACTGAAATGCTGCCCCAAGAACTGAGCTGTCAGAGATTCATCAGTCCACAGAGAACAAAATGCTGACAACTTTAGCTCTTTGAGGGGAGCTAGACCAAAATAAAAGATTTTACAATCACAAATACGAATGGTGGACTACTGAACTCAGGCAAACATGAGAAAAGAATAGTAAGTATTGAGGAGTCAGTAGTGGAATTTTTAGGTTTAATTAACAAAAATAAAGAAAACGTAGTTGCTTAACTTGGTCTTACATAAAAAAATATATAGTGTGTCTATAATAAAAAAAATCTGGCAATGATGCTATTAAAATACTAAAAAAATCCATTTATGTTATAAAATATAATATTTTAGGTAAATAATTTTTAACTTCTACAACAACCCTCCTAGAGTGTATATTTTAAACTCTCTTTATGGACGAGGAAACTAAGGCTCAGAAAAATAAGTTGTCAAGAGACAAAAGGAATGAGATGAGGAAAAGCATCTTCTGGAACAACATGGAAGACAATACTAAAGGGAAACATGATACTTCAGACAACAAAAGACAAAAATGGCCTCTGGCAACAAGGAAGATAGAAAGTGACCTTATATTTTCTTCCTTACATTTTTAGTTTTTGAACATCAAGTCCAAGGGTATAGAGATAAGTTTTCACCAGCTGGACTGAGAAGGTAAGTCAACAGCTGCTGGGAGTGGTTAAGAAGCACCAGGCACATTCAGATGTGTAAACACCTAAAATGGAACAGACTAGAGACCTGGGCCTTAAGAACTCTCTTGACAAAGCACTAGTGCCATCTGGTGACAACTACTCTGCCTTGCAGGCACTGGGTCCCTGAAATCATAACCAGCATCTAAGCAGGGAGGGGGAGGGAGGGGCTGGGAGGGGTCAGTTTCATTTCTCAAGCCCATGTTAATGGATTAGTAGTGGCTGTCTTGGAAGCACTGTGTTGAGAAGGATTCTGAGCCTACCTCTGTGCTCCTCAGAAAAGAAAACTGAGTGATGAAAAATGTCGGCCATGAGCGTCACAATCATTTCTAAGTAAATGAAATCAACTTTTGTAGCAGCAACTGATGCCTTCTCTCTAAGAAGACCTATTTAGATAGTTAAGCCTCCTGCAATGGCTTTTATTTTTTTTTGATATGGAAATCAACTAGAATATGCAGTGAATAAATATAGCTGATGATCATAGGGAGATATCTATTTCTAATTACATATTTTAATGTATTTCCCCAAGATATGCAAATAAAATTAGTATGAAACTAGTTAGTACCTTCTAAATTTAATTGTTTAAATACTTTTGTAACCTAAATAATGCATAGATGACTTAATTATGTGGCAGTTCTGGACTAGACGATTTCTGAATCATTGTTCCAAATGATGATACACTAAGAGAAAACATTAATTTATATTGTATATTTTGTATAACAGTTTCTACTCCATTTTCAGGCATTATTTGGACAGTGAACAACGTCTCTATGGGGCTAACTAGAGAAACCCAAACAACTACAATAGCTGAAAAGAGTTCAAAGACTACATACAGTTTAGCACTGAGGATCTCCAAAACTAGGATAAGAGGAGCTACTTTGGTTTTTACTGATAATGAAATTGCTGAGTGGAGCAGAGAAAGGATTTTCACCCTGGGGAAGTTCAACAAGTCACAGAATGAGGGAGGTGACAGGGAGGAGACACGTTTCTGGCTGTCAGGGAGGTGTGGTAAGGGGGTGTATGGTAAAGGAGCTCTCAGAGATGACCCTGCAGTTCACAGGTCAGCCAGTTAACCATGATCATCTCGTTTTTGAGATTTCACTAGTGTAACAGTAGAACTAAAGGCCAGGGCAAGATGAAGGTGATCTTCAAGCAGGATAAGATTAGAATTAGACGGGAAGAATATTTGAAGGTGAGGAAGCACAAGAAAACTGAACCTGATGCAAAACGGTTTATACAA